ATTCAAAGAGTCAAATCCGAAATTTTTTATGGTAACATTCAATGCTTACTTGAATATTCTTTAGCCTTAATCCAACTACATCATTTTATTTCATAGCTTAATAATCCCGAATAAACAGACAAATTGGGCTTAAGAATTTGTAATATTCTGTAGCTGACTAATCCTGCCTTCTGATATCACAGCCTAATTTATTTAAATATCTTCATTTATTTATAGACACTGGGGGCCACACCATCTGGCCTTCATATCTTCATTTATTTAATCTATGGAATTACAAAATTATAACTATCACTTAGGAGTACGATTCGCCAAATTATAAATATAAAGTATAACTTCGTTATTATTTAGAATTTAAATACTAAAATAATGCTTCGCTTCTATATTTCAGGGCAAAATATTGAAAAAAAAATTTTATTTCTTATTTTGTGGGAAAAGGGATTTAAAACTTACCAACATATTGTCGGATGCCGATGATTGCTATAAAGATAACAAGAAGGCCGCCGGTAAACTGGTAATTAAGCTGATCAATGAAATCCACACCATCACCGCCATAGGAGGTTTTGAATATTTTGCCCACTCGAAGAACAGTATCTGGGTTCATGGCGCTATGCAAAAGCGCCCAGCTTAAGATCTTTTATAATAGGGAAATAGAAATCCCTATCGTCGAGTGGTTAAGTTCACTTTTACACTACTCAGAATTTTTGAAAGATGGGAATAAATCCATTTCGTTTGGATTGGGAACAACAATAACATTCACCTTTAATGTTGAACTTAGATCCACGTGTGGTCTATGGATTTGAGATTTTAGAATCAGCGTTCTTATATCTCATTTAGTCAAATGCTGGGGAGAAAAGAGGGATTAGCCTTGAGACATCCCATAAAATGTAAAGTTGGGTGTTGATGAATTGCGCTCAAGCACTGATATGTAGGGATTTTGTCATATGAAAAATCACAAATATAGGCTCCATCAATGCGTTACCAGAGAGTCAAATTGCATGCCTATAAAGCAAACAAAATTCTTGGACCATTGCTCGTTGGCCTTTTCTTAATGAAGCGAATCCAAGGCTTTGGTCCCAATTTGTACCCTGGCTATATAGTTTGTAAGTTATTAGTGGTTTAATGATGAAATGCACAGAAATTTGCCACTTCTGCTCTAGAGCTCTAACGGAACCTGCCCTGTTCGCTTAAGCAGGACCACTGTATAAGAGTTTATCAGCCAGAGCAAGTAAGCTTCCACCAATTTCTGTACGAATATATGGCTCCACCTCTCAACGAAGTTTGGCACCTGTTTGATATTTCCTGGCCACGTTTCGCAAAGATGTGTATCCAAAAGGCCAGAAGACAAGGAATCACTTTGTATTTTGCCCCCGATGCTTCCACTCCCAATACTGGAAGGCTGAATGGGTGGGATTGAAGATGGGAAACGCAGCAGAACTGATCGGCTTGATGCAGAATATGCTGAATCGAGGTCCAAGTATCCCAAGGCTGATGTTAATGAGTACGATGATTGAGAAATATAACTGGAGTATGAAGTACGAGGAGTTTGAGAGGAGATGCTATGAAGAGTATAATCAATAGATTGTGTAATCGTTGCCGTCGATTTGCGTATAATACTCAAATTGTTATCAATTTCAGTGAATGAGGTAACTTTAATGTTGCGGTGCTTGTAGCTGTCGTATAGCAAGGAATAATTGATAGCAATCAGTGGAATTTGATCTGTAGCAAAAGCAGAAACGGGACTCAGCTGGGCCACAGAAAGGGAGTCGTGGTCCTCAACTGGCGGGTTTCTAAGTAAATGTTGTCGTTGATGAATATACGTGACTAACATTGGCTGTGAGCCAACCAGTCTGGTCTTCCTAAACTTACGATTGCACTGTTCTCTGTGTGCAGGACGACGACACAGTGAAGCTGGCAAGAGGTGTAACCAACAGATCAGCGGAAACTCTTCCGAGCTAACGATGCCTTTTGAACAGATTACCTGAGCCACGCCAGCTATGCTTCCAGCTGAATAAAGGACTTGAACGGAGACACAAAATGAAGGTATTGAAGATGACCTTAGCGAAGAGAAAAGATCATCAGATGAAGTGAGAGGGCAGGATTCGCAGTAAGGGAAATAAGAGGCAAAAATTACTTTAGGCAAAGTTGAGGAGTATAAATCAAATGAACTATAGTGTAAATAATATGAAAATAAGGACTTCCAAGTCAAAGTGCAAGGTTGGGAAGAGAACAAATATGAAGAGGAGATAAATGAAGATAAATGAGAGGAGGGAGATGTCGAGGTAGGGGCCAAAAGGGTGAACGAGTTGCAGAAAGGTAAGGAGGAAAAAGTGACAATTAAAAATAAGAAGTAATTAAGTGAATTAAAGTGGATGTATTCACAAATTCTGGTATATTTGTCGATAATAGGCGTTATATCGAAATACTTTGTAGAAGCTGCAAAATGGCTATTATTTTGATAGTAAGTGGTCTTATAACACCTGGAATCGGAAAATATGTGCGTTTTAAAGTTTGAGACTGAGTGAAACAGCGAGAAAGGAAGGAGGAATGAAGTGTGCGAATGAAACTCGGAGTGGGTAGAAGAGGAGATCTTGGGGAAAGAGCGGTAGAAAGGGGATGTGAGGCGGTAGTGGGAATGAGAGGAGTCGGGGGTTGAGTCGAAGGCAAGGGAGAAAAAGGAGAGTGTTGTCAGAGGTTTGGAGAGAGGAGTTGAAAAAATGGAGGAGTAGAAAGAGTGGGAGTAGGAGTCTGAGTGAGTGGAGGGTTCGGGTAGTGAGATAACAGTGGATATGACCGGGGTGTCTGGCCTTATAGGCAAGGTATCAGGAACTACAATGTGATGCAATAAGGATACTATCAGGCAAGAAGAATCGGAACGAAGGCAGACCATACTGGATTTTGTGAAGGATTGAAGCAAGGGAGAGTAAGAGAGATGTAGAGAGGGACAAGAGGGGAATAAAGATGGCCTTAATAGCGAAAGGGAGGAGATTAGATCAAAAAAGGAGAGTGTGAGAAATCAGAGCTGATGATCTAACCAGGCGAAAGGAGATGAAGACAGAGCAATTTTGGTTGCCTCTATTTGTCAAATTTCAAATCTAGGCTGTAGCTTTGGATATAAAGTAAAAAAAATACCCTGTTCAATACTAGGAGAAGTGGGAATTGCATGTGAATCCACAAGATAGTGGGTGATATATGAATACAGTCTGGCTGGTAGATGGCGTAGATACGGGCTGCTGTATCTGGGGGCGATGTGTATCCTAAAGCCTGTTTGTGTATAACCGAAATCTAGGTTCTGCTGCGCATTTCAGTGGAAGGTGAGTAACGCCCAAAAATGACTACCGTCGGACTGTTTACTTGCATGATTCAGGATGCAAGGTGGAAGTAAACATGACGGAGGAAATAGGCAGACGTAGAGTTTTGCAGAGCTGCCACTATTGGGGCTTCAAACGGGCATCGTGTGAATATGGATTCTCGTGTGGCTTAACGAGTTTTTTCGAAGAGGCCACGAAGATGCTGAGATTCCGTTGGAGCTCTGACGAGGAATCCGTGGGCAGAATCGGGCATGCTAACTTCCGGCGCCTCTGCTGGTGGGGCAGGCGGAATTGCACTCGTCCTTTACTCCTCTTCGTTCAGCAGTCCCACTCGCATGCATGTTAACGGGACAACATACATTTCTTCATTACTTGAGCACGTGTGGGCGATTCGAAGGTGCTTTTTTGCTGTGAGAGGTGGCCCCAATGTGACGGCCTTCTGACCTTCCCAGCTCTGTTTGGTAACTATACGGATTTTCCCTTAACACCTGAAAACATGGGACAATTCGGTGCAGGTGCCAAGTAGATCGTCAGTCGGAGTGCGGCCAGTTCGTCGGACAGTAGTTGAAGTAATCCGAAGTGGGAAAGGGAGGGGGTGAAGGGGCGGGCTGAGGGCTGTAGGCCGAAGTGAATCCGGTTTGGGATCGGGGAATGACGAAGAGGCGAGGAGGATGGCAGGCCTGATCCGCCAGTACTAAATAAACCCTGAAATGGAGGCGAGAAGAGTGACTGTGAGAGTGGATCCCGACCGCTCTTCTATGATCGGCCGTTCTACCTTTCTACGTAGCTACGACCGTTTGCCTGCATGTCTGTCTGTCTGTCTGTCTGTCTGTCTGTCTGTCTGTCTGTCTGTCTGTCTGTCTGTCTGTCTGTCT